ATATATATAAGATTTTGATGAACAAATCTCTAAATTCACCTTTGCAACTGATTAACTTTTGAAGTCAATCCAATTGAAGATGGACACCACAGCTAATTTACTTTAGCCAATGCAAAAATATAAGTCAGTCGGTTTTGCGAATTTTGGGCTAAATTCGTCATGGTAGTAGTTGAGAGTCGTCCTCAACACATGCATCAAGCGCTATACAGATCATGCTGGAGCTCTCGATATCCCACAAGATCACTTGTCACACGATCTGATCAAAACGGCCACAACTCCATACCTTCTCGTCAGTGAAACTCTGGCATGTAAGGCAGCAGTGGATAAGATACGTTTCATGTTTTCAATGCTCTAAGTTCAGCTTTTAAATCTCGTGCTGCCCTTAAACTCACGTTCAAATGATTTGTGTTTTCTTGTTTCCAGATGGGGCAGGAGCTTCCACACTTCTGTTCACGTCTGCTTTGTTCAAGGAGATGCAGGTGCCAAAAGAAATYGTTGCCCGTTCACTGACTGAATAAAGCGGTGTATATCCTGGACACATGGGTGAGGCTTGCCGGTTGAGAAAGGTTGATTTGTTAAACAAATTTGAACCAAATATGCACTTGGTGCCTGGTTTGTAATGTAAATTCATCAGGACAGTCTTTTCATTTCTCTTTGCTTCTGATGGCTTTACTTAAAACCTGTAAAGCCGATCAAAACTGCACTTCCTGCTTACTACTTCTGGGAACACAAGGTCTGTTATTTAAACGTAGACATGTTTGGTGGTCACAGAAATCTCGCTATAAGCTCATAAAAGCCAAAGTGCTCATTAGGAAACATTTTTACGACCACTAGACACATAAATCGCAAACAATTCAGTCAGCATGTAAACAAATGATAAAAACTCAGCCTCAGCTGCTCATCCCACAGCATGAACTCAAACATGCAGTTTTTGAGCAGGGTCTTCAAATAGGCCCCTTGAGACAAATAATTAAACACACCAGTTTAGTTTTTTTTAACTTTAAGCTTTTTCAAAAAAAGGAGTTTCTGCAGTCATTTTCCTGTGAGCATGATTGTTTCTCAGCAATTCAAGCCTGCAAATAGCTGCAAACATATGAAGAGCTCTTTTGTTTGTCACATTTGAAGAAGAAAGAGCTTATTGTGGACTTAACGGGAAAAATCTGCTGCTGGTGGTGACAGAAGGAAGAGACACTGAGCGGGAGTGGAGTAGAAAAGTAAGAAATAACAAATAAATGCAAACTCTCTTGTGTTTAACTATTAAAAAATACCATCTTGACGGGTGAACAAGTGAGCAACAGTATGCTTACTCTGCTGGCTAATAGTTCAAGTACTTTCCTGTCATTCCTGCTATTTTTAGAATACGATGAGACAAAACTACATTTCTCTCAGCTAGAGCAAGCGTGAAAAGCACAGAATAAAGACTGAACAATACAATGCAAAGATGGTGCTGAAATCAGAAAGAGAGACCACTTTCAGCCTCGCAGTGAGCTCAAACTAAAAACTACTACAATGGAAAACTTAAATCAGAAAGGTTAAACGCATCAGTTACAACAAAACAGCAGAGTAAAAATACATTAACGTATGTTGGTCCTAAACATTTTACTGTAAAACTTATAAAAACCCCAAAGTTACAATAAATTCTAACTAAAGTTCTCACTAAACGGTTTGGATTTGGATGATTTTTTTTGTTTGTTTGTTTGTTTGTTTTTTTGTGTGTTCGGGTCACAGTCTGATTATGTATAAGTATATAATGCATGACTCAAGTGAAGCTATAATAATTGAATGTTTTCTTGCTCTTGAGTCTTATATTGATTTTTTTCATTGTTCTGTACAAATGCAAACAATAAAACATTTATTTCATTGTTTAGATTGGCYCAAAGTAAAACCTTACATTAGCTAAATGTCTGATTGACTTTTCAAAAATTTCACAGAAGTTATCTTAMACTTCTGTTATATTAAGACTTGTGTTTAGGGAGTAGTTACTGTTATAATCTGAAGTTTACATACACTCATCAAGAACATGAATGTCATTCATTTCAGGTTTTCATTAATTTGATTGAAATATTATTTTCCCAGGGTGGAGTGATTATWCAAYATACAACTTCAGTCATTTGTAAGAACAAGTATTTTGGAAACAAGTTTGATTTTATTGTGGATTTTYTCTAATCCACTCAGGRTCAAAATCACCCGCTTCGGATGTTATCAGTCCATTAAATGGACGTTATTAGCGGTTATCAGCTCCATAGAATGGCTTCAGACTCTCAGCTGGTTAGTATGAGGCATAAAGCCACCAAGGTTAATTTTWGAGAAAATGACCTGGGGTAGGTTAAAACTGGAGTCTGGCAGATTGTTGCCTTCCAACATATTAGTAGGTAAACAGTCTGAAGCCATTCWATGGGACTGATAACTGCTGATAACGTCCATTTAATGAACTGATATCATCCGAACCGGCTAGTCATAATTATACATCCAAGTCCAAATAAGAGTTGAGTCTCAACCACACACATTTTATAGCRTTTAAGAAGATTTTAGTTTAGTCCTGCTTGGATGTTTGTTCCCTGATATGTTAAAGTTTATTTACWTCAGTTGGTTTTCTGGCAGAAACTTGTGTTTTTTGCATAATCTATAAATTTTCAACAGCGTTGAGGTCAGGGCTTTGTAAAAGCCATTTCAAAAACCTAATGTTAGCCGGTGTTATCCATTCAGAAACTAGTTTTAATATGTTCAAATATGTAGGTCATTGTCCTGTTATTCAAATTTCAGCCATGTGGTTGTTGAAAAAATTGGATGATCTCACTTTTAAATTATTTCACCCACATTGTGCAATGATCCATTATCTTAGCATGACGCTAGCATCACCTTCACTCCTCCAAACATCTGTCCTGTGTGACCGAAAAGCTTTTCTATTGAATTTTACAGATCTTCTAACAATTGTACTGCAGCCAGAAAGTCAGCCAACAATCTGTGTCTGGCAGGTTTTAGGATGCGATCCCTGAAGAAGACGGTGCTGCTCGCCGTCCTGGTGTCTGTGGTGCTGGTGTTGGCACTCCTCCACTCGTGGCCCACTCGGGCCTACACCACCGTGGACGTATGGCAGCGGCCCGGACCACCAGGAGAGAGACATCTGGAAGAGAGGCTCCCAGAACCCGATCAGCAGTTGAGCAACATCCCTTATCATGTCAGGGATGGTGTAGCGAGGTAAAGACCGTCTTTATCAAATCAGAAATGATTTCCATTTATTTGTCAATAAATTGTGAACTACAATCTGATCTTGTGCGTCTCACGATCAGCTTGCTGGCACGTAATGGGTGCGTATGTGAGGGCGAGAGTGGAGGAGTGAACCTGCCCTTTGCCCAACTGTTGTTCCCGCGGGTGTCGGCTCACCTGCTGCACACTGCCTTTGATGCCTCAGAGCTGGAGGAAATGAAGAAGAGACGGGCCAAAGAGTACAAAAGTTTTCAGAGCAGGTAACCTCAACATTAAAACGACACGTGATACAATGCTCCTTTGCATTCTGGACTATTTATACKWAGCACAAAAAGTAAGGAAATTTGTGTTTGGTAGATCATTTCTTTGTTGTAACAATGCTTCTTATCCTGTTGATTTAACTTGTTTTGCAGTTTATATTTTCAAACAGCAAAACCTGTTAAGTGGAYTTTTAGTTTAATTGCCCAGTAATTCTGTCCGTTTTGTTTGTGGATGTACAATATTCTGATGTATTTCCTCAGATCGAAGAGTTCTGCTGATTCTCTCATCATCGCAGAGGCTAACAATCCCCTGCAGTATCCAACACAGGGGCTGGAAGTACGACCTCTGAAAACAATCATTGTCCCAGGTAGGACTTTGTCTGGTCTGAGACTGTTGTTATAAATTCAGGGACAAATATTTAGTAGCTCTGGAGGTAAAACTGTTTAAAACGATCTTTAAACCATTAAAAATCCCCCATTTTAAGGTTGGTTGTTGAACTGTTTTTATCCAATTTAACAAGCTAAATTCAGTTTGGAGCAAAGTCTGTTTCTGCTGCTTTCAGGTTTGGCCTTACATGACRTTCCCAGAGATCATTACTCAGTGAGTGCACATTATTATTATTATTTTTATTTTTGTCTCTACATATTTTATGTGTTTGCACTCCTTGTCACACATCAGTAATTCTGTCTGTCCTGCTGCTGCAGATAAACATCACTGCCACGCTGGGAACGCTAAACGTAGCAGCAGAAGTGGAGGGGGTGAGATGGAAAGGCGACGGCGAGATGCATATGACGCTTTCGAGCAGCTCGCTGCTGAGCCTGAACCGGCAGCTGCAGTTCGTCACCTACACCAATACGCTGTTTCACCCCAGCACCGCGGACACAGGTWAGACCTCGTCAGCTCTGAAACCTCATTTTGATGAAAACGGATGAAACATTCCTCCGTTCTGTCAGAGTGTTTTCTTGTATTGATCCTGGTTCTTAGTCCTGTGTGGCTGGTTTGAAGGAAAAATTTGATGGTATGAAAATAATGCGTGTGGGAAATTTTATGAAAGATAAACGGTACAAATTAAGCTAGAAGATGAGCAGCAATTCTCAAGAGGTATAAAACGTAGCCAGAACTGAGTTAACAGTTCTCCAGAAAAGAATCATATAACTGAATCATTACATATGTGATTCATCTATTATCGTCTGGCAAACACTCTAAAAACTGGAAGTCTGACTATATTGGACGTGACTGCGCAACATCATTGGAAAATTTCCAGATCTTTTACTTGCTTCTCAGATTTGCTGGAAATAATAAAAGAAACAATGTCCAAGAACAGCTGCAAGCCTTTTTTTTTTGGGCACACTTTCAATTTGTTTGCGTAAGTGGAACTTCTGTGTTTACCCTAAAGTGAATGCAAAGTTGTGTGTGTGTGTGATGGAAAAAAAAAAGTTCTGCGTGAGTGTTGAGGAGATAAGAGTTTATAAAAAATGCACTAGAAACATCCAAACGGTGACAAGAGCTGCCACTTTCCAAAAACCGGCTGAGAGAGGACGGTTCCAGTACGACGATGTTCCAGAGCTGCAGGGTTCCACCTGAAAACAGAGAGGAAATTATGACCAAACAAACTGCTTAACACGGAAAGTACAGGCCCTTTTGTGTTTAGTAGAATATTTCCTTCTTGTAACAATTCTTCTTGGCAATAAATACTTTACCACTGGAAAGCCTGTKRATTTCCCTTTTAAATGGTGCCATATTTGTAAGGAACATGCATCTGTGGGATGAGCAGTGGAGCTGAGCATGTGATAAATGAAACGTGAAAAATTTGCCAAAMCTTCTCTGCCAAACAGCTTATTTTGCTGTGGTTTTGACATTTGTTTTGAGCTTCTGGTACCCCCAGGTGCTGCCAATCARGTATAAAATTAATTGCCAAGAAGCATTGTGACAACAAAGAAATAATTTACCGAACCCACATTTCCTTACTTTTTGTGTTAATTTTTATAAGGTTTGAATTCAATAGAATAGAGAGGAAACATGTTAAAAAGAAATGTTGAGAAACACAAGAGTTAAAGGGGAAAATGATGATTTGCAGAGCTGCAGCATGGGTTTTCTACATGCTGAGGAAATATGTGCAATATATGTATAATTATAGATATTTAAATTGGAAATAAAGTTGAGAGCCCAGACTGAGATGTTGTCAGTCATATTTATGTTGTGTTTAAAATCAGTTAAAAACAGCATTTTTGCCATTTTGATCAGCCTTGCTGTAAATGATTACATACAGTATTTGGATTTTTCAAAATGCAGGTGCTTCTGGATCAAGTCGGACCAAACCAGTGAGCACAGAGTCTGAACAAACAAACAAGACTTCACATTTCACACAGTCATTTTTTTAGCTTCAAATTTGTATTTTTTTGGTTGAGATGAGCTGTTTCTTCTGCTGTACATGCAAAGGTTTTAGTAAAAAAAATGGTTCTATTTAAAATTACATTTTCCAGCTGAAATCTAACATGCCTTTTTTTAACTTCACTTTTTTCATGATACACCGCCCGCTGTCTGTCTTATGAGCAGCCGATTGTGATCCAGTCTAATAATACATCCTCTTTGTTCTGCTTTGTTCAGCTTCCTGCATACATAATAAAAGAACATGAGCTTCATTATTAATACTACTATTATTAATAAATAAACCCGTTTGCTGCTGACAAAGCACATTTATGTTTTGTGACTTTTAGTGCAGTTCGARACAGAAGGGCATCAAGCCGTCTTCAGCATCAGAATCCGTCACGGCGTGACGCCAAAACTTTACAACACCGGAGCTAAAGGAGGTAAAGTCTACCCTCGTGTTCAGAACCAAAACATTTTAGATTAGATTAGATTAGATTAGATTGAACTTTATTGATCCCTTGGGAGGAGTCCCTCAGGGAAATTACATTTCCAGCTGCATCAGTACAGTATAGATTCAAGGTAAGGGAAATATTATAACAGTCAAAGGGAGATGTTGCACATTATACATCAGCATAAAAACAAGTCAAAGTAAAAAAAATGAAAAGGTCAAAATGAGAAAAGTCAAAGGAGGGAGGAAAAAAAGAAAAGAAATTAGTTTGTTGTTAAAGTTAAAAAGCCTTCTCTCTTCTGCAGAGTACAACGTCAGCGCTCTTGTGACCATAGCTACAAAGACCTTCCTGCGGTACGAAAAGCTTCAGAACCTAATCGACAGCATCAGGAGGTTCTATCCCACCATCACCATTGTAATCGCTGATGACAGCGAAAATCCCAARACCATCTCCGGGCCTTACATCGAGCACTACATCATGCCCTTTGGAAAGGTAGGGGGAGCGTGCGCCTGTCTGCTCCAGCTTCAGCTGCTCYGTGAGCTCCTAACCCTCTGTGTCTCATGTCGCAGGGCTGGTTTGCTGGGAGAAACTTGGCCGTTTCTCAGGTGACCACAAAATATGTGCTGTGGGTGGACGACGATTTCATCTTCACCGCCAACACCAAGTTGGAGAAGCTTGTCGATGTTTTAGAAAAGACCACCCTGGATCTGGTGATTAAACTGTTATTTGTTACGAGTCTTGAACGTGTTACTGCAGACATGTGAGTGTATCTGTGTGTGTTTAGGTCGGTGGTGCCGTGCGGGAAGCCACGGGCTACACCGCTACCTACAGACAGACCATCTCCATCGAGCCCGGAGAGGAGGACGGTGACTGTTTGCACATGAGGAGGGGATTCCATCACGTCATCGAGGGCTTTCCCAACTGCGTCGTGACGGATGGGGTCATTAATTTCTTCTTGGCGCGCACCGACAAAGTCCAGCAGGTTGGCTTTGACCCCCGCCTGGCCAGGGTCGCTCACCTGGGTGAGTCCAGAGAAAACACCGAGATCTGCTTTCAAACCACAAGCTCTAAAATGTGACTTCTTAAAGTAATTAAAGGTTTATTTCCTACTTGTTACTCTTAATTTAAAGTGGAGTTCTGAGGAAAGGCTATGTCTTATTAATGTAAATATCTAAAGCAGGTAAGATATTAATTATTTAAAACTTTTCCACAAACCCCCATTTAAAAGTATCTGAACTATACCTTTAATGCACAGACACAGATAAACAGTAAATTACATAAGAAAGAGAGGTTAAATGTATTTTTGTTTTATTGTATCTTTTCTAGTGCCAGCACATGGTGTAAATTTAATTTGACCAATCTGTTTGGTTTAGAATGTTGTATGAAAATTAAAAATGTAAGAATATTTTACTGTYAGGTTTATTTTAAATGCAGGCAGGACTGTTTTTCCGAAACTTGTCCTTGTTTAATGTTCACCTGCTAACAAGAGACAAACAGATAAGATTTTTATTTTATTTTTTGTAATACAGCCTCTCAAAAAAAGCTTAAACAGTATATTTTAGCTAATTATTTTAAAGATTTATGTCTTTATTGGGTGAAAAAACAATATTAACTGACAAATTTTTAATTTCAGTTTATGTTAATATCAAAGAGACCGAGGTCTTCCACATTAGAAACATTTCCTTAAAATCATCTCCATTTCACTTTATCTAATCTCCCACTCTGAGTGTTCACAAACATTTCACTGGAAGTTGGCTTGTTGTGGAAAATGTAAAAAATAAAATTCAGATGACAATAATTTACCAGTCCTGTCAAATTACAGCGGCTGTATTAGATTAACTCTTCCTTTAACTGCATTATGTTTGTTGACACAGGAGGCCAGTTGTTCCAATTAGGAACTGGATTATTGTTCCTTGGAAATTTGGGCCCTCCTTTGTTATAAATTTGATTTCATGATTCACCAATCAACAAATAAATGAATAAAAACAGGCGGGAGAATGGGGCACCAGGACTTTCTTTTCAGTTCTAATGCAAGAATTGATTTAATTTTCTTAATTTATTTATTAACATTTATTTAACCAGGCAAATCTCATCTCTTTTGCAGATGAGGCCTGGGCCTGAAGGCAACCTATTGTACATGTTTTTGGTTTGTGGGGGAAACAAGATTATCTGGAGAAAACCCACACAAGCATAACATGCAGACTCCACACAGAAAGACCCCAGGTCCAAACCGGGGATCGAACCCAGGACCTTCTTGCTGTGCTACAGCGCTAACCACTGAGCCATTAAAGAAGCAAGCTGCTGCTACCATATGTGCTTCAGGAAACCATAAAATTTTGTTTATAAATTGCTGTGAATTATTGACAATGCAAACGATTATAAAATAGCATTTTTAAATCAAAATGAAATATTGTCGCTGTTAGATAAAACCTTGTGTTTCAACTTTTAACATTTTTTATTGCATAAATCAACTCTGTTGGCCACTACTGTTCACATCATCTGTGATCTTAACTCATWACCATACAGTTTGTTTAATTCATCRTTATCATCTACTTTATTTATAAAGCACTTTTAACAGCAGCCACGGCTGAAGCAAAGTGCTGAACGTCAGAGATAAATAAGAAAAAGGAAAACATAAAAATAAAGTGACACACTAATGAATTAAAAACTAAATTCAAGACACAATAAAACAGTTAAACAGATAAAATCAGTACAAATAAAAGTTGCGTAATATCAGGTCTCAGTTGGGTTAAAGGCCAATGAGTAAAAACAGGTTTTCAGACAGGTTTTAAAAATGGACAGTGAAGGGGCTCGTTGAATGTGCAAAGGCAGAGCGTTCCATTAGGGGCACTAACAGAGAAGACCCTTTCTCCTCTGAGCTTCTGTTTAGAACTGACCAGGAGCAGCTGGTCAGCAGACCTGAAGAAGATCTGTTAAATAAGGCGGGGCAAGGCTGTTTAAAACCTTAAAAACAAACAGAAAATTTGAAAACAAACTCTAAAATACACATGCAGCCAGTGGAGGGAAGCCAGGACAAGGGTAATGTGTTCTCTCTTACATGTTCCTGTTAAAAGACTGGCAGCAGCATTTTGAATCCAGCTGCAGGCGAGGACTGGCTTACTCTGAGGTAGAGTGAATTACAAAAATCCAGTCGAGAATAAATGAAAGCATGGACCATTGTTTCAAACTGTTGCCTTGAAAGAATAGAACCTTTGCTATTTTTCTTAAATGGTAGAAACCAGACTTCCCTGTCCATCTTAAAACCAAGCTTTGTAACTGTGGGCTTAACGTATATTGCCAGGGGTCTAAATCAACTGGAGGGCTTGGGCATGCTCCACTGGGTCCCAAAACGAGTGCCTCGGTGTATTTTTTAATAAATGCAGGAAATTTAGGGCCATCCAAACTTCAAATCCTCAAGACATGATAAAAAAGGTTTAATGGACTAAGCATAAACTTGCCTTAAAGGCACATATAGATTTGGCAATCATCAGCGTAGCAATGGTTTATGGTTTATGATGAGTGGGGATGGATAAAGAGCCTATATGAGTGGAGGCCTCGTAAGTGGGCCCATTGCTCTCCYCTAAAAGACACTGGGGCATAGCGATGTTTTATAACAATCAATCCTAGAGGAAGGAGGTGCAAATAAAAAGGCAAAGGCCCTAAAATTGAGCCATGGGGAGCGCCACATGACAGAGGAGCAGAAAAGCTCTTGATAAGCAAGACATTTTTTCATTGAGTATTCACCATTTATGATTTGAAATTGATTTATAAATTATCTATTTACTTGAAATGACTTGTTCTGTGTTTTTTCAGAGTTCTTCATCGACGGACTCGGCTCTCTCCACGTGGGCTCCTGTGACGACGTCATCATCAATCACGCAACGAAGATCAAGCTCCCGTGGGTCAGCCAGTCAGAGAGCGACAAGACCTACGCCAAGTTCCGTTACCCGCCTGCTTCGTCGGATGCCACTCGCACAAAAAACGGTCTCCTGTTTTTCAAGAACCGGTTCCAGTGTTTGACTCATAATTAAGCCCCTCCTCTTCCTTCTTCATCCCCGACGGTTCCTCAGTTCTTCCTGAGTTGCCAAAGAAGTCTTTCCTCCTCTCTGCTCAGTCAGATAAGATTCATGGCAAACGGTTCGGTTCGTGTGGAACGTTGGGCGTGGTTTTTATGTTTTTGAGCTGCGTTCGCTCCTGCTGTGTCTCCGCGCGGCCCTCTCATCGTTGAGTCACAACACTGTCTAAGTGAGGGGATCAGGATTTGTCAAACCTTATCTGCTTATAGGTGCTTGAGCTGTTCAGGCACAAAAGAAAAACCCAAAAAGGTTGCATCCTGACAGGTTGTGTCCTTTCTCGCATATCTTGTTTTTCCTGCTCATGGTGTCCGACAGCATGAGACAAGGAGGACAGAGGACATGTCCTAGAGAGAGACCATCTCTGAGATGACCAGTTCCACATGAGACACTCTTAAAGTGACTGGCTGGTTCTGTGGAAGGTGTGGCTGCTGGATTTGAGGTCTTAATTGTTCTTTTTGTGTCCCAGTTTTTCTACCTCCGTACCCAGAATCCTTTTTGATCTCACCCATGTGAAGTCATGCAGTTTTTCTTTTCTTTTTGGTCCGCTGCTGTCTGTCGCCCTCCAGTTTCTTCATAGCGCACCTCAAACGCGGAGGAGTATTTCTTTCTTCTCGCACTGATACATGACAGGAAACGGCACCCTTACATGCTGCCTCAAAGGAAACATGGATGAACCAAAGTGCATGTTTGTTTTCAGGCACACGAGCAGAGGAAGGACATCTGAAAATTGGATGATAGTTCTGATGTGTCAAGCGTGTGATGAAGGAACTCTAAGCTCTTCTTTTACATCACGGCCTTTAGATGGCTTCCCTGAATCACTCTCGATTCTTAGAAAAGGGGTTTTAACTGTCATTTGTTAAAAGCAAAGAGGTGCAAAAAGTTTTTATTCTTTTTTTATATTTTGAACTATTTTTCTGTCTTGTAATTTTATTTCTATTTATTTTTTGATTCAAAGACTAAACTTTTTGTTTTTTTGCATCATGTTTTTAAAAGTTTGTATTATGTTAGAGTTTGTGACTTTTGACAAACTAAAATTTTAACAAAGTCATGAACTTTGTTTTTAATTTCTTGTCTTGGCACATAAACTTATTATATTACACCATCAAAGCCACTGAATTTAGTAGTCTAATCCCTGCATCATGAACCATTTTTTTTGTTTAAACTGTGTGAAAATAAAACTTGTTATGTTTTGAAGGGAGTTCTAAGATGAAAGTATAAAGATGCACGTTMCCTCTTTGTTTCTTGCTTCTGTTTCTGTCCATCTTTTGAAAGGCTGAGAAAATCTGCATTTTCATTAGGAAACTTTATTTAAAGTAAAGATTTATGTAATAGTTCACAATATGGTCTTAGATCATTTAAAGTCTGTGTTTTATAAACTGTTTTTATTTGCTTCTAAGTTCAGAGTCATGAGGAGCTGGAGCTAATCTCTAGACAGGTCAGCAGTCCATCACAGGGCCACACACACACACTAACACACACACACACACACACACACACACACACACACACACACACACACACACACA